GTGGTAGATAAAAGTTCCGGCAAGTGTTGGTAAATAAGAGTTCAGACAATGGGTAGATAAAAGTTCCGTCAAATGTTGGATAAGAATTCTGGCAATGCTTAGGTAAAAGTTTTTGCAAGTGCTAGATAAGAGTGCAGACAAAAAACAGATAAATGGTGGAAAGAAAAAAGCTTAGATTTTGTTGCTGATAATGGGAAGATAAGAGTTTTGCCACAGGGTAGATAATATCCAGACAATGTTCAGATAGAAGCTCAGACTCTGGGTAGATTAGAGTTCTGGTCATGAGTAAAGAGTCCAGACACTGGGCAGCCAAGAGCTAGACAATGTGTAGGGTAGACAACACTGGGTAGATAAGAGTTCGGACAATAGGTAGACAAGATCTAGATAATGTGCAGATAAAAACACAGACTGGATAGATAAGATTTCAAACACTGGGTAGATTAAAATCAGACAATGGCCAGTAAAGAGTTTTGTCAATGAGTCGATATAAGTTTTGTCTTTGTGTAGATAAGATCCAAACAATGTGTAGATTAAAGTTCAGACACTGGGTAGTTAATTACCGGAAATGGGTAGATAAGTGTTTAGCCAAGTGGTAGATAAGATTTTTACCAATGTGTTTTTAATTGTTGTGGCAATGTTTAGGTAAAAGCACAAACACTTGGTAGATATGAGTTCAAACACTGGGTAAATAAGAGTTCATGCACTGGGTAGATAAGAGTTAAGACAAGTGGGAAGATAAAATTCTTGCCATGGGTTGCTAAGAGGCAGACAATATGTGGATAAAATTTTAGATAATGCGTAGATAAAAGTTGAGACACTGGGTAGATAATAGTCCAGACAATGGGTAGCTAAGATTTAGACAATAGGCAGATAAAAGCAGTGAAACTGGGCGGATAAAAGTTCAGACACTGGGTAGATAAGAGTCCACACTATGGGTAGCTAAGAGTTTCGTCAATGGGTATGTAAGATACAATGTGTCGATAAAAGTTCAGATACTGAGTAGATAAGTGTTCAAACAAATGGGTAGATAGGAGTTCTTGGACACGGTAGAATGGGGCACTAATGTTACAGATTAGGGAAATGTAAAAGTTTCAACTAAAGGTAGATAAACGCAGCAAAATTGTGGACATAGAAAACTGGGTGCATTGTTTTAGGCTAGCGGAGGGGCTCGCCCGAAGGGCGAGCCTCTCCGCTAGTTATAAATAATTATAAAAATTTGGGGGGAAGTTAGGGGGGGGGTAGTCATTGAACAAATTAAATTTATATTAATGCAGTGGAATTCTAAATTTGGAAGGGTAAAATAAAAGAATATTTTGAATAAATGGGTACATTTTTACTTAAAATCACAAGAAAATTAAATAAAACGAACAACAATGTATTTTTTATTTTAAAAAATTTCTTGTGATTTTAAGTAAAAATGTACCCATTTATTCAAAATATTCCTTTATTTTACCCTTCTAAATTTAGATTTCTACTGCATTAATATAAAATTTTATTTGTTCAATGACTACCCCCCAACTTTCCCCCAAATTTTTATACTTATTTATAATTATTTGTTTAAAATTATTTCATTTTAAAATCATTCGTAGTTTGTAAATTGGCAAAATCAAAAGTCACTTTTATTCTTGAGGTTATATAAAATGCCTGTAAAGTTAAGCAATAAACATATCATTTTAATTACCATTTAAGATATTATTAAATAATGGTACTTTTCCGTTATGACGTAACCTCCTAAATTAATGTTCAAAATGTCATATATATGGTAGAAAAAGGTGCTAAGTCGAACGGTACCACTCATTTTTCACGGAGATGTCTGTTGACCGAGATATAGGGCTCGAAATGGTCAAAAACCGGAACTTATATGGTTTAGATACGCTTTTTTTAGCCACGCCCTTTTTTCCTTTTCCATCATTATTCTTTTACTCTTTTTCCCTCTCAACCATCAATCAATTGAATTGAGGTCAATTTTTTGTTTAAACTAAAGAGAGATAGATAGAGCTTACTCGGATGACATCATCGAGCTGGGCTGAGACGAATGGGACTAAACTTGGTCCGTTAGATCTCTGAGCTGAATTACAGGGGTCCAAAAATTTCTAAAAATGGGTAAAAACGGTCAGCATTTTGTAAAAAAAATGATTTTAAACGCGCAAAAACTGGAAAACAATAAAATACCGGATCATTAGTTCCAAAAAGTAGACCCGGGATACTTATTGCCATTTAAATAATTGAAATAGATAAAAATAAGGATATTGATTCAAATGTTAATTATATTTTGGTGAAATTGGAAAGGAAAATTAATCTTTTCCTTGTTAATGTCTCTCACTGAAAATGCCATAGGAAAAGTTAAGTAAAATCGAGGAAGAAAGAAAGGCTGACCATTCTGTCCATATTAAGGTTGATTGATGAAGGAAAAGGAAAAAAGGGCGTGGCTAAAAAAAGCGTACCTAAACCATATAAGTTCCCAAAAACCATAGGGGGGAGTGCGCCTCGCCTACGCCCCATAGGTTTATGTTGACCATTTTGAGCTTGTTCATCTCGTCTCAAAATCAAGATTTCAAGCTGATTTTGGTGTCATTCGACTCAGCTCGAGGAGCTATCATTCAAAAAATGGAATTTTTCACCCCAGAATTGAGCTTACTCCTTCCTATGGTTTTTGACCATTTCGAGCCCTATATCTCGGTCCACAGGCATCTCCTTCCTCCTTCACGGAAAAGAGTGGTACCGTTCGACTCAGCACCTTTTTCTACCCTATATATGACATTTTGAACATTAATCTAGGGGGTTACGTCATAACGGAAAAGTACCTAAATGATAATACAGTACTTTTTACGTTTTCAAAACCCGGTTCTTCTCGAGATTCATCTATTTATCTAAAGAATAAATTCGATACAATAACCAAATTATTTTTAATCCCATAGAGCCTCTCTTCTTATAACCTGAGGATGGTTATTCTTAATCCATTAAAATTACAATATATTCCAAACCATCGATATCCTCTTAATGCCCCTCAACAACCCTTGTTTGAGGTCACTATAGTAAAGCAGCTGGGCTATAGCTATTTTCTATTTCTCTCCTTTAGCTAGTGCAAAAGGTTATTCGGCGGCTGGGAGCGAACCAGCATCTTCAGTAGACCGGACTGATGTGTTAACCATTACACCACGCCGCCTACTGAATAGCCTTAGGAAATGAATAGCTATATGCTTTACACTATGTTTATAGTATTTCCCGCTATTTGCTAAATTCCATAATAATTTATATAACTTTTCCGAAATTTTTATTAAGATTTTTTTTGAAAATAATTGATCCGCATCCGGCTTCAAAAATTCGGATTTCAGGGTTAATTCGAAAAATCAGGTTCGAATAAAAAAAATTTTTTTGATTCGTAAATCGGATCCGACATTTTACAACTTTTAAACTTAATTTAAAAAATACAGTCAAAAATATTAAGAATAAATTAGAAAACCATACAAATTATTTTTAATTCTATAGATTCAAAGCAGCATAAATATTTTTTATCTTTCAGAAATTTAAATAAAATTTTCAGAAAATTATTTAAATGGCTTCTTCAAATAATATTTTTCTTATTCCTTTTTTGTTTTTAAATTTATTTTTATTATTTCAATTAATTAATTGTGAATGTCATAATCCTCCAAAGTGTCTCGTCAATGGACAGTGCTGTCCTGGTTGGTTTTGTAGATTTCCGAAATATAGTTTTTGGGGGATCTGTGAGAAAAGCACGTGCATAATGAAGAATTATTTTTATTGTGACAATGAAGACAGAAAATGCTGTCCCGGATTAAATTGTAAAACTGATAATAACACCAGATCAATTTGTCGACCTTACAACTGTATTAAAAAAGGTGGGGATTGCGATAGAGATGATACAAAGAATAAACAATGCTGCTATGGATTTTATTGTAATGGAATCAATAAATGTGAAAAGAATTTTGAACCATATCTTTTATAATTAATTTTAAAAATAATCAAGCAAATCTAAGAAATTTCTGTCAAACTATACTATCCTTTTTTTGTTTTCTTATTTAATAATTTATCAAAATTAACTTGACTTTTTGCTTTCTTTTTAATTAAAAAATCGGGAACTACATTCGATAAAGAAATTGTGACTTTATATGGATAAAATTTTGAAATTTTGTATTAGTAACTGTTTAAGATGATTTCATTAGAAATTGTTTTAATTTAAAACTAAGCGTATTAAAAAATATATTATCAAGTGGGAAATTCGAAAAAAATATAAAGAATTATGTGAAGAAGGCGCATAAAATTCAGATTTACCAGTGTAAGGAAAATTCTTTAAATTATCATAGCCAAAGAAGAATTTTCCTGGTTTATTGGCAAAAGTTTTAGCTTAACTAAATTTTATTTTAGAATTTGTGTTTATTCAAAATTTTATTTTACCAATTTTAATTTAGTTCCCGATAAAAACTAAATTAAGTTCCGATCTTTTTTCCCGATCTTTTTTAATAACCCGATCTTTTTTAATAATTAAATAATTTTCTTTCCTATTTTTGTGGTTTTCTTCCTTTCATCTTTATTGTAGTATGTACTTGGAATCCTGCCGGCACTAAAAATAACTTCCAAATTTCGGGAATTGCGATGGGAGGATCTTTGAATTTAAATAAATATGATTTGTATTGAATAAAATAATCAAATTTTGGTGTTAAGACAATTTTGTATTTGATGTTCCAAGATATGTTCCAAGTTTCAAGATATGTTACAAGTTCCAAGATTGTTCCAAGTTCCAAGATGTTCCAAGTTCTAAGATATGTTCCAAGTTCCAAGATGTTCCAAGTTCCAAGATATGTTCCAAGTTTCAAGATATGTTACAAGTTCCAAGATTGTTCCAAGTTCCAAGATGTTCCAAGTTCTAAGATATGTTCCAAGTTCCAAGATGTTCCAAGTTCCAAGATATGTTCCAAGTTTCAAGATATGTTACAAGTTCCAAGATTGTTCCAAGTTCCAAGATGTTCCAAGTTCTAAGATATGTTCCAAGTTCCAAGATGTTCCAAGTTCCAAGATATGTTCCAAGTTTCAAGATATGTTACAAGTTCCAAGATTGTTCCAAGTTCCAAGATGTTCCAAGTTCTAAGATATGTTCCAAGTTCCAAGATGTTCCAAGTTCCAAGATATGTTCCAAGTTTCAAGATATGTTACAAGTTCCAAGATTGTTCCAAGTTCCAAGATGTTCCAAGTTCTAAGATATGTTCCAAGTTCCAAGATGTTCCAAGTTCCAAGATATGTTCCAAGTTTCAAGATATGTTACAAGTTCCAAGATTGTTCCAAGTTCCAAGATGTTCCAAGTTCTAAGATATGTTCCAAGATATGTTCCAAGATATGTTTCAAGACCCAAGATATGTTCCAAGTTCCAAGATATGTTCCAAGGTATTCCATTTTTTTGTTCCAAGATATTCCATAAATTTTCCCTACGGTAGAAAGTGAAAAAGATTAAAGAGCAGATAGAAATAGTTTGACAAAATTTTTTAAATTTATTTTAAAATTTGCATATCTCCACCCTTGAGACAAATACAATTATTTAATTGAAATAATAAAAATTAATTTAAAAACAAGAAAGGAATAAGTAAATATTATTTGAAGAAGCCATTTAATTAATTTTCTGAATCTAAAAAAATTGCCTTCAAAATGTTAAAAAATTTTATTAAAATTATGTGTTTGTCTTGGATTTTTTGTTCTAAATAGATAAATTATTTTTTCGTTTTTAAATTTAACATCCCTTTTTAATCATTAAAATCAATCTCTCGCCAAATTTGTAATAAAATTTTATTTACGTATTCAGACAAATAAACTTTTTTGAAATAAAATTGAAATAGTGAATTTAATGAATAAGGAACTAATAAAATTTCCTTAGTAATCACAACTTATCAAGTCAAAATATTTTTTTATTTATTAATTTAAAAATTAGTTTTTGACGAAATTTTAGAAAATTTAAATAATATTTATTTTATCAATTAATAATTTTTAATTTTTAAAAATTATAATGAATTCAACTTCTCCAAGGGTATGTTAAATTTAAAAAGTAAAGTCTCATTCTCTAAAAAAAACTAGGGTTGCCGTTTTCGAATCGGGCCGGGGTTCGAGACATGTTCCGGGAGTGTTTTTATCGAGTCGGATTATACGAGTTACTTTCGAGATGCCCTACTCAATTTTTAGACCTAGTCGTAGCATTTTAGCAACCCTAATAAGGCAATAATGAAAAAATTGATACGGAAGGAACCTACTTTAGATGTAGTAGCAGGTCTCAAAATATCACCCTTTATCATGGTACCTCGTTTAAACCCTTATACCTCATATAATACATATATGAGGATACACGGAATTCCTAATCGAAGATTATCTCAAAATATAGTCTAATGTCGTTTATTAGTCCTTCTTATAATTAGGGCTATAACATACACTCTTTAAGACAAAATTTTGACCTGCGTTTATAGTTTTCTGACAGAATGTATAGAGATTAGACTGTGAATGTCATAGCGAGTAAAAATTGGACTGGAAGTGTCGTAACGATATAGTATCTCAAAAAATCTCGATTCTCTAAAACCCTCAATTATTTTTGAACGAGTTCTCATCTCGGTCCGATCACTAATAACGAGTGTCACTATAAAAATTAATTCAATTTCTTATAGCGTTATTGTCCAAAAATTAATTATGAAATAAAAACTAAATTTGATGTGTTTATGATCTGTTTATATTTAATTATAGGCTGCATTATTGGGTATTTTTAAATTTAAAATTAATAAATTTTGTATTATTACAGTTTTCTTATTGGCAGAATTATAGGCCATTTTATTATTCCCAGTTCACATTCTACTATTATTAAACATGAGAATATTAGCCTTTCAAATGCAAGTGTCGGAGGACATTGACAAAAAAAAATTTTTTGGCATAAATTGTTTGATTGAAGGATGGATTTAAAAATTTTTTTTCATTATTTACCAAAAATTTTGTATAATTACCAATGCTTGGAAATTTAAAAATTGCTTGTAACAGGAATGGGACGGGTTACCCGAAACCCGATACCCGGACTTTTATGAAAAATCAATTGTAAAATTTTCAAAAATAATTTTCTAAATTGCCACAAACAAAAAATATTAAATTTTATTTTTTGGTGTTGTCATTCCTTTTTTGATTTAAAATAAAATTTAGATTTCTATTAATCTTTATTTGTTTAAAAATTTATTTGTTCAATAAAAACCCCCAACTTTTATAGCAAATTTTTATGCAATTGTATACGAATTTTTTCCAATTTGTACTGATTTTTACTTAAAACTTTTTAGTCTGTAAATTGGTAAAGGCACAAACTCTATGAAATTTTATATAAAATCCGGGTAAATTTCCCCAAAACATAACATTTTAAATATTTTAATGAACATCTAAAATAATTATACATTCATTCATCATTGGCGGAGAGAGCTTTTATATATTATATAAAAAAAAGAGGGGGGGTCATTTTTCGCCGTTTTGCCCACAGCCTCGTACAGAAGTCGTAGAGCCTCGGGAGTGGTACCATTCGATAGCGGAAGTATGATTTAGTCGGTAAAAAAAATAAAAAAAGTCGGAAATTCCGGCGTTAAGAGGTCGAAATTCGACCTCGAATGTGCGGGGCGTCATAAAGAATCAATGATGTCGGGAACGGAAAGAGATGGAGTCATGGAGTCAAGAGGACTTAGGTTTGTGAGTGTCTGGGGCATTTGGGAAAAATACGAAAAAAAATATTTTCGGGTCGGAAGGGGTCGAAATCCGGGTTCGAACAAGTCGAAAAATGCCGATTTCGACTTTCCATAGGTCTGATCGCTTAGGGCTTGCTAGAGACTACCTCGGGGCCGGAATTCTCTATCCAAATCCGTTGAGATCAGAAAAATCGGATGACTTCGAGTCGAGTTATGCCGTCTTAACCGAAGTTAAATTGTGGCATTTTGTCGTGCCACAGGGGTGTGCGCAAATGTCCGAAATGCTAACTTTTTTGTGGCTGGACCGAATTGGCTGAAACATTAGGGGAATAGGTAATCGTGGGAGGGGAATTCAATGAAAATATTTTTGAAAGGGACACTTGAGTCTGGTGGTTTCAAATTGAGTCTGGGACCGTGGTAATGATTTAAAAGGGTGGTGGATGCCATAGAATGATGTTAGTGAAGGCTTAAAATCAATTTCCATAAAAAGGACACTTGAGTCTCAAAAAATTTTTTTGCCAGAATGACTTGTAAGCATGTGGGGTACCGCGGAGCGGGCTTGGGAGTGATTGCAAAGCAATTTTATTAAATTTTCATGGTCGGACACTTGAGTCTGAATATTCAAAATTTACGCAATTTATTTTTTGACCGCGCGTAGCGCCTAGAGGCAGCCCCGGAAGGCAAAGCGTTGTAACTAAACCCTCGCAACTGCTTCGCGCCGCCATGGGCGCGCAGCGCCCATTCGGCCGCGGAGCGGACGAAGTTTGGGCCGAAGGCCCTAACGGGCAAGGCTTAGGTTCCAACGCCCATAGGGTCACTTTACTACAGCCAAGGCCAAACGTACTTCGGATAAAGCATAGGTACGAAATATAGAGCATAGAATCATACTACATAACTAGCCCGCGAAGCGGGCTAGTTATGTAGTTTATTTATTATATAAAAAAACAGGGGGGGTTCATTTTTCTACATTTTTGCATCAAGCGAATATTGCAGATATTTCGATGCCGTCTTTTTTATTGGATAGATGAGTGTTAGGGGCAACTTTCTATCCACGCTCCGAAAAATTTTTTGGCCTAAACCCTTTCGGGAAATTTTGGTCAAAAATTTCAAAAAATTCTGGTGAAAATTTTTTGGGAGAAAAAAATTTCGTTTTTGCTGGCGGGCACGAAGAGAATTTAAAGGGCTATCGAATGATATATGACTCGCCCCGATCCGACAATTTTCCCAGGAGGAGATAGGAAAATGGCGAGGGTACCTCAAAAACGACACTTTGCCACAATGGGTATTAGTCGGTGGGGAGTTGAGTTAGGAGGGGGCTTTTTGTTTTGGGTTATAGAGGAGGTGATTCCGCGTCGAATGGTGTATAATATGCCGGGGGTCACCGGACTTTCAAAAAAGTTATTCCGGTTTAAAAAAATTTGTCAAAAATTTAAGGTTTTTCGACTTTTTTTGTTCGAAGTCGAAATGGTACGGTTTCGGAGTTTGATAATTCTTGTAGAGCTCGACGAGACGCGTCGAATGAGCTAACTCTCGTTTGATAAAAATTCCTTTGGGCCGAGTTATGGTCCGGCAAAAAGTTCAAATTTTCGCATTTTATTGCTTAAAAAATTTTTTTAATTTGGTGCAGTTACCCGTCCGGTCTGGGAGGTTAGGCATCGGTGAAAATTCGAACTTTTTATTGGGTGGTCCGATTTGCCTAATTCCGAGGACTTACGGGTTATCGGCTATGGCGAATTTTTTAAAAATATTTTTAAGGGGGTCACTTGAGTCTGGGGTTTCAAATAGAGTCTGGGACCGAGGGAATGATTTTAAAGGGTGGGGGATGCAATAGGATGATGTTAGGGAGGGAATAGAAGCATTTTTCAACAAAAGTACACTTGAGTCTCAAGTGTGAAAATTTTCAGTCTGGGACTGAAAATTTCAAAATTTAATTTTTGGCCCAGCAGAAGCTATAGGCAGCCTGGAAGGCAAGCCGGTAACACTAAACCCACCATGGTTAAAAAACTGAGGGGGGTTCATTCTAATTAATCAAAGATCTCAAGAACGGAAAGTAGAAGGGATAAAGGTCGAAAAGTTCGAATTTATCAGAGTGGTCGTATTTATTCTGGGTTTTTTTCATTAAATAGAGCGTGTCAAGTAAACTAGAATCAGATTTGTCCGAATCATCGCGTCAGGTCGAAATTTTCGACCTAATCAGAGTTAAAAATAAGAACAAAATTAGAATTAAAAATTAGAACAAAAACAGAATTAAAAATCAGAACTTAATCAGAGTTAAAAATCAGAACAAAATCAGAAAAAAAACGATGGCCGCGAAGCGGCCATCGTGGGTTTAAAAATTTTCTAAATTTTTGCAAATTTTTTGAAATTTTTTTAAAATTTTTGAAAATTTTTTGAAAATTTTTAAATTATTTATAATTAAAATTTTTTCAATTTTTTTTAATTTTTAAAAATTAAAAATTTTCAAATTAAATTAATTTAATTAATTTTAAATTAATTTTTAAATTTTTTTAACTTAAACTATTTTAAAGAAATACTAAAATTAACTTTGTTAAAAACTTTAAAAAATTTAAATTAACTTTTACATAAATATAATTATTCTTTATTTTTATTCTTTTACTATTTTATTTGTTTATTTTATTTCCATTTTTAGCCGTAATATGGCTTTATTTTATAAATAAATCGAACTGGTCAGCAGACCAATTCAACAAAAACGAAGCCATAGAGATAAAATCTCTCTATTATAAATAGAGAGATTTTTCTCTAGCTCTTGACTGCAAACAAAAAATAGGCGCGGCAGTCAAGAGCTAGAGAAAAATCTCTCTATTTATAATAGAGAGATTTTATCTCTATGGCTTCGTTTTTGTTGAATTGGTCTGCTGATCAGTTCGATTTATTTATAAAATAAAGCCATATTACGGCTAAAAATGGAAATAAAATAATAGAATAAAATAATATAAATTTAGGGGTCTGGGGCTAAGGGTACCTGATAGCCGAGATTCAGGGCGCTTTCATGCGAACGCTTCTCGGTTATCAGGGACCAACTTCCTGAAATGGCTAGGGAAAATTTATTAAATTAAAAATTAAAATTCTAAATTAATATAAATTTGAAATTTTTGAAAAATTAAATTAGAATTAAAATCAGAAAAAATCAGAATTAAAAATCAGAATAAAAATCAGAAATAAATCAGAATAAAATCAGAATTAAATCAGCATTAATAATCAGAATAAAATCAGAATTCAAAATCAAAATTAAAAATCAGAACAAAATCAGAATTAAAAATCAGAATTAAATTTTTAAAAATCAGAATTAACTTTAAAAATCAGAAATAATTTTCTTAATATTAGAATTTATTTTGTTAAATCAGAATTTCATTTTTTCAAAAAAAATAAAAATCAGAACAAAATCAGAATTACATATAAGAACAAAATCAGAATTACATATAAGAACAAAATCAGAACAAAATCAGAAATTAAATCAGAATTAAAAATCAGAACAAAACCAGAATTAAAAATCAGAAAAAAATAAGAATTAAAAATCAGAACAAAATCAGAATTAAAAATCAGAACAAAATAGAGTTAAAAATCAGAAAAAAATAAGAATTAAAAATCAGAACAAAATCAGAATTAAAAATCAGAACAAAATCAGAATTAAAAATCAGAACAAAATCAGAATTAAAAATCATAACAAAATCAGAATTAAAAATCAGAACAAAATCAGATTAAAAATCATAACAAAATCAGAATTAAAAATCAGAACAAAATCAGAAAAAATCAGAATTAACATAACAAAATCAGAATTAACATAACAAAATCAGAATTAAAAATCAGAACAAAATCAGAATTAAAAATCAGAACAAAATCAGAATTAAAAATCAGAACAAAATCAGAATTAAAAATCAGAACAAAATCAGAATTAAAAATCAGAACAAAATCAGATTAAAAATCATAACAAAATCAGAATTAAAAATCAGAACAAAATCAGAAAAAATCAGAATTAACATAACAAAATCAGAATTAACATAACAAAATCAGAATTAAAAATTAGAACAAAATCAGAATTAAAAATCAGAACAAAATCAGAATTAAAAATCAGAACAAAATCAGAATTAAAAATCAGAACAAAATCAGAATTAAAAATCAGAACAAAATCAGAATTAAAAATCAGAACAAAATCAGAATTAAAAATCAGAACAAAATCAGATTAAAAATCATAACAAAATCAGAATTAAAAATCAGAACAAAATCAGAAAAAATCAGAATTAACATAACAAAATCAGAATTAACATAACAAAATCAGAATTAAAAATCAGAACAAAATCAGAATTAAAAATCAGAACAAAATCAGAATTAAAAATCAGAACAAAATCAGAATTAAAAACCAGAATTAAATTTCATAATAAAATCTGAACTACAAATCAGAATTAAATTTTAGAATATAATCAGAATAAATTTCAGTTTCACATCAGAATTAACAATCAGAATTAAATCAGAATAAAAAAACAGATTAAATTTCAGAAGTAAAATTAGAACAAACAAACATCATTATAAATTTCAGAATAAAAATCAGAATACATTTAAGAATTAAAATAAGAATAAAATTCAGAATTCAACTCAGAATATAATTGTGAATAAATTTCAGAAAAAATTGCAGAATAAAAAAAATTATTAATTTATAAAAATGGGAGGGATATCTTAAGGCCGGCTCTCAACTACTGTTGCCTAAGTAACACTGGTAACAGTAGTATAGCTACAGAACCACCATAAGTAATGCTTGGTGTAATTCTGTATTTCTGTGGAGATGGACACAGGTGGTGTCCTACACAGGAAGTGGGAACCCGCTATCGGGAAGCCCCACGCCATCCTGGTTGAGGATTAACATCCCTGGGGGATGCCTCAACTGGGTGGGAGCACATAAAACCCTTTTGAAATCGGTGACTCGATTTCAATCGTAAATCCTTTCCCTGGGAGTATTTTTCTGTTAATTTGTGTAAATGATAATTTGCTTATTCACGAAAAATAACTGTTCTATCTTTAATTTTAATTTTATCTTTGCATTTTTAATATATTTTGTAATGTATTTACAAATTTAATGTATTTGTTTAAATCAAATTCTATACGTTTCCACAAATTGCATTCTACAATACTGAAAGCATTATATTTTTTAACATTGAGAAAAATATCACTTATCTATTTATAATTCTTTATTTTTATAGTAAAACTAAATAATTAGAATTTCTTATAAAATGCCAAAAAAAGGCCAACACCTTATTTCTTCTAAATATGAGCAAAAGAAAAAACAAGCACGGAGAGCATCTGAATCAAGTGAAAGCTCCGAAGCTGAAAGTTATGCCACAGCTGAATCTCAATCTCCTGGACCATCAACACCTCAAGTCTCAAGTATTTGGGGCGATCATTCGAAAACAAGTAAAATACAAACTGTAGCACTTGCATCACTCAAAACTGGTTTTCAACATATTTTATTTCAAAATCCTGAAAAATAAAAATTTAGTTACCTATTGCTTCATTTGTAAGAAAAAATTTGCTGAAAATGACGACCTGACACAAACAAAATGCGGTTGTTTGTTTCATACAAAACACTGGCTCACCTGGTATATATGTTTGTTTACGTATTTTAAATTAATTTAAGGAGTAACAATCACCCCGAACAGTGTCCAAAATGTGGACCTGTTACTAAATATCCTTTACCAGAGGTAGCACCTGTTTTTGAAATTGGAAAAGAAAAGTTGACTCGACAGAACTCTGCGGAAACAGCTAAAACAGATAGAAGTCGATCAACACTTAAATCACTTACAGGTCTATAACTTATTTCGAAATCAAATTCGAGTCGTTTGATTTAACAATTTTCCCAAAATTATTTTCTATTAATTAAGATCAAGCATGGTGTCCAATTTGCACTTTTGAGATCACCGTGGAGGAGGATAAAATCATGGCCGTCTGTGAGTGCTCGTTTCATACGCAACATTTTCTGAATTGGTTAAAATTATTTTATGTAATTCACAGTAATTGATTTAGGACAATAAAAAATCCAAATACTTGTCCAAAGCATGGTAAATTTGCTACACCTGAGCAGCTTAAACGACAAAGAGATTCAACTGGACAATTTCATGAAAGTATGGCTGTTTATTTGTTGGTCTTTTGACTTTCTTTATTTAGATCCGAATGCGTGTGTATTTTGTGGTAAAGATGCTATGAAGGAAAGCTCAGCCCTAGACTGTGGGCATCGATACCATAATTCTACAAATTACTTAGACTGGTACATAGTTAAATATACTGTCAAAAAATTTTTATGTAATTTTTAAGGGTTCGAGGTGGTGGTGCTCGACGCTGTCCGAAATGTGGTAAAAATCCCTTTGTGCGTTGTAATTTTTGTGGAAAAATTGCCGGTTATGGTGTTTACGAATCCGAATGCAACTGCTATTTTGTTAGTCACGGCCTTGAATTGGAAAAACAGTAAAAAATAATTATAAAGCTAAAATATTACCTAACTCATAATTATACTATTTATCTAATTTTTAAGTTTAAAAAAAACTGGTGGATTATGTAAGGAATGCCAACAGCCGCATCCTAACTTTTGCATTTTATGCTGCCAAGTAATGCAAATGTCTGATCAAACTGATAGAAGAGTTCGCTTTAAATGTTGCATGACACAAACTCATTATGATTGTTTCCAAAAAAGGTGTATACTATTAAAGATATTAGAAAATTATTTTTATATACAAAAAATTTTAAAACTCTAACTTTAATATGAAAAAATTATAAATTATCATTTTTTCTCCAGCACAAATAATAAAGAGTGTCCATCATGCAACGAGCCAATTACAAAAGAGAATATGTTTATGGTAGACAGGTTGAGTTGCACAATAGTTCGGTAGATTTATAAATTTTTAGAAAGACAACTTATTGTTCACAAAGAGGCGGCGGTTATTATGGAAAGCCTTCTTATGCAGATTTTAACAAATTGAGTGCAGAACTAAGCCTTAGTACTTTGAAAGGATTAACCGATGATGATTTATGCTCTTGTACATTAAAATATCGAAAAAGCGGAAGAACAGAAGGCGAAAAAATTATTTTTTTTGGCTCGACAGGAATTCCTCAACATAAAATCTGGCAGGAGGAGGATGAATAGTTTGCATTTTATATAAGTATATTTATCATTTTAAAATCTATTTATTAGTACTGCAAAGCGCGTCCCTGATGAATTTTGTTCATTATGCGAAACAAGACATAAACCAAGTACTGATCATCCTGGAAGGAAACAACCACTCCAAAAGTTCAATAATTAACTTTCGATTTTATTAAATTATTTAAGAATAAAGTGTGGACGCTGTAATTATATCCTCCGTGATAAAATTTATAACAAAACAATCTTAACAGAGAGGGAATTCAAAGTTAGTATAAATGATCTTGGTACTGGTCATCTCTGCACATGGGGTGCAGGACGGTATGTAAAATATACTTGATTACATCAACAAAGTTAACTAATAATTTATAGTAACTGCGAGGCAAATGAAATAGATTATCCTTGTTTACATGTTGGTAAAAAGCTCACTGAGAAATGTGCTAAATGCGAGCGAATATTGTATGAGAAACAAAAACTATGCGTGTATAGCTGTGGTCATGTCGTACATCGCAAGCATGCAGGGCTGCTTGGGTATAATAAAACGCTATTTGCAAAAGTCCTTTAATTTAGTAATAGATGTGAAAAATCTTACTGCGGTCGGACAATAACTGTAGTTGCACGGTAGAATATTTAATTTAAAAATAATAAAACAATTTAGTAAAAAATTTAATCGAAAAATAAAACAAAAATTAACTATATAATTAAGTTTTATAACCACATTTAAATTTGAAATGTTTAAATAAATCCTTAAAAAATTAGACCAATTTTAGTTTATTAACTCAAAAAAATTTATGTTTGCAACTATTAATTATTTTTTAAAAATTTTTTTAGAAATTTCGGAAATGATGAAAATATTGATCTTTCGATAACAGCTATAAAAAAGAATGAATCGAAGAAAAATAGATATTTATATTGGTGCACCTGCTGTGAGGATTTATACAACAGAAAGGATCAGCGTTTACCTCATGTTGAATCGGATTCGGAGGAAGACGTTGGCTCTGATGAATGGTGCAAGAAACATGCACCCTATTACACTAAAGAAGCAGTCAATAAAAGAAGAGTAGCAGCCGGAATGAAACCTTATTCTGAATTAGAATTTGATCTTATAGACTCAGGACAAATGGTTGAAGATTCCGAGCCCAGCGATGAATCAGAAAGAGAAGTAGAAAGAATAAGAAGATTAGAAGAAGATACTTGCACGGTGGAACAAAAATGTGAGAATGTGAAACTAAATAGTTCTGGTTCAAAGTCAAAATTACCTGAAAAAATTATAAAACTTATCGAAAGGATATTTAATGCTGAACTAGGCAGCCATTCAACTGGCAATGAGGTATTTAAAATTTTACGCTTAATCTTGAAAAATAAATAAATAAATTTTAATTAAATATCCATTTTAAGTTCGTAAGGACCGCAGCTGGATTTGTCTACAACAATGAATCAAACTTTGGGAAGAGAGAGCTGCCAGAAGACATATTTGATATAATTTATAAAAAGTTGAAGTGCTCGATTACGGTATAATTTATTTTTAAAATTAATTTTAACAAGTAATCAAGGTCCTTGACCCAAGCACAATTGAATATGATTTAATAAACCATTATTTGACGAATAATCATGGACCAACACATGCATGTAAATTGAAAATTATAGATGTAAGACTTTTACTTTAATGATATATTTAAAAAATAGCTAAATATAATTTTTTACATTATAAAGATATTTAAAATTGAAAGACAAGGAGATTTACGCAATTTTAAAAAAGAAATTGGAAATCGTTATCTTCTTTGGCATGGAACTTCATTACATAATATAGCTGGAATACTAAGAAGTGGATTAAGGTTAAAAATTTAATAAAAAAGTTTAAACTAGCTACATTAGCTACATACTGAGTAAAAACTTGCATTTATTTACAGAGTTGCTCCAGACGAAGCCTTTACAAAAAATCAATATAATTTTGGCAAAGGAATATATTTCTCTGATATGTCAACTAAAGCAGTTATTTATTGTTATACTAGACAGAAAGACTCACAACAGTTGCTATTACTTTGTGATGTAGCTCTGGGCAACATACAAGAAGAAAATACACCACGGAATATTACCACACTTAATAATGGCAAAAATAGTGTTAAAGGTTATAAAAAACGAGTTCACATAACTTTTATATTTAGCAAATGGTGATACTATACCAGATCCTAATGGATATTGCAAAATTGAAGAAATTATTGTTCCATGTGGAAAAATTATTACTAACAAAATGAGAGGATTGTCCGAACTCTACAATCAGTTTGTTTCATATAATTAGTAATATCGGCTTTGAGTTCCCGTTTTCCCAACCGGTCATTCCTTAAATTACACTAAAATATCTAATAACAAATTCTAAGATACCGAGCCAGCACTTCATTCTCCTATTCTAAAAGTAAATGAAATAATAGAAAAAGGCAACATAAAACTGTTTATTAACTATTATATTTATGTAAAATTAGTCATAACTCAGAAAAAAGCTTTAGGGTTTAAATTTAATTTTTTTTATTATAGCTATGTAATTTATGACGCTAAACAAGTACAGCTACGTTATATTGTGAAAATAAAAGTTGATGAGAGAGATTATAGCCAATATTATTGATAAAAGAATATAACATTTAGAAAACGCTTTTCGATGTAATATGCCAATTATTTTATTTAATATTAGTTATATAGTATCATTTGATTATTATTTAAGTAAATTTTAATATAATTTAAAAAAATTTAATTTTTGATATAACCTCCTTTGTGCCTTTTCACTTTTTTAGTTTAAAAGCAATTGTTATATAACCTTGCAGCACTTATGACGTCCCACTGGACAGAATTCGTGTTGCATAGTTACATATAAAAGAAGGTATTTTCAAATATTCAAAATAATTGAGAGACTATTAGGCTATGGAAAAAGGCTCAAAGGAGGGCCCCGCTAAAGAGGTCGCCTTCGCGTGGCGCGGGGTGTGAGTACACTAATATTTTATTTGTTGTTTTGAAAAATATTAGTGGAAACCGAGAACCTCTATATAAGGAATTCAAACAGTTTTAAAAATAAAATATTTTTTCCTGCATATATAAAAATGTTACACATAACTCTTGAACTTTATTTTTAAATTTACGCAATTTATATTTTTGCACCCCGCGAAGCGGCTAGAGGCAGCCCCGAAAGGCAAAGCATCGTAACTAAACACACCATGGGCGCGCAGCGCCCATTCGGCCGCGGAGCGGACGAAGTTTGGGCCGAAGGCCCTAATGGGCAAGGCTTAGGTTCCAACGCCCATAGATTCAGCTATACACTGCCAAGGCCAAACGTACTACGGATAAAGCATACGTAACTCTTATAGAAGTACGCGATTTGCTACATAACTAGCCCGCGAAGCGGGCTACATAACTAGCCCGCGAAGCGGGCTAGTTATGTAGCTATTTAGGCTCAAAAAAAACTGATAATAGGCAACTAAATAGGTTTGAGAAAAGGCTTAATCTCGTACTTGTACATTCTCGTAATTTGGAAATGTGTGGCCCTCGAGTGCGGGTCCTCAAGTGTCGTTTAGCTAAAAAATAATAATGATTTAGTTAAAAATTAGGGTTGTCGGTTCTGGACCGAACCGATGATTTTTAGGGTTTAAGATTTTCCAAGAACCGACAACCCTATTCAAAATCCATTCCTAGCGAGACTGGTTGTTTTCTGGCTGACCACTAGGTTATATCGGGGGTTTGTCTGGCTAGTGTCTTCGGGGTTCGAGTAGAGTTTTGCCTAGAAATTCGTCGGTGACAGGGTGCTACCTTCTCGCACCCCGTCGGGGGACAGGGGCTACCTTCTCGCACCCCGTCGGGGGACAGGGGCTACCTTCTCGCACCCCGTCGGGGGACAGGGGCTACCTTCTCGCACCCCGTCGGGGGACAGGTGCGAGAACTATTAAAATAAAAAGCATACCCTGTAGTTAAGATTAGAGCTGAGTGGATTAGATCCCGGTCTGACGTACCCTTTCTTGGTCGCTTAGAGAAAGGCAACCTTTTTCCTTGCCAATAGGGACCTAATAATCGAGATTCGACAGCTTATATTTAAAATTAAGGAAAGCAAATTGTATAAAATTGTTATTTTTGTTGATAAATTGGTTGACAATAAAGGAGAAACAATTACAAATGTTGGAAATTATACTGATTTTTGGCTTGATTATTTGTGGTTGAACGAGGCTATAAAAGGGAATTTTAAAAATATTCGTAAAATTGCAAAGGCTTTAAATGCTCAAATGGATGATGAAAAAAATTATTATTTGAATGGAAAATGTACTGATATTATATCTGAAGGGGAAACAACAATTGGTTTAAAACTTAAAAATTCCAATACTACACTTAATGTTTCTGGAGGAGATATGGGAGACTTTAGTGTAAGCAGTAATGTCAAAGTTCCAGTTCCAGTTCCGGAACTAATTAGTTCTAGTTCCAGTTCCGGAACTAGAACTACGGAACTAGTAAATGCCTGGAACTAGCTTTGGAACTAGTTCTGGAACTGGAACTGGAACTAAGGAATTTCAAAAATGGAGTTCCGGAACTGGAACTACAAAAATTTAAAACCTAGTTCTGGAACTGGAACTAGTTCCAGAGAAATCTTGGAACTTTGACATCATTGAGTGTAAGTACATTATTTGTTATAAACGTCAGTAACTGGGTTTGGACGAGTTCCGGGATGGTTAAATATCAGTCATATGTATCAGTCCAAAATAAAAACGGTACTTATCGGTTATACGCCCACAAACTGAATGGCAGCCAAATTTGATCGGCTTAAGCATAGATCATGTCTGATCACTCATTTAAAAGTTAGAAAAAATAAGTTCAGTTATTTGGTGTTTTCACATTTATCGGTCTATAACTTTTTAACGAGTGATCAGGCTTCAGCCATTGAGTTGGAAAAAAGATTCCTCTTATCGAGGGCTTTCGAATGATATGAGATTTATTTGAATAGAATCAAGCATCAAAAAGTTAAAGCCTATCAAATTTGGCTGGCATTCAGTTGTGGGCGTATAACCGATAAGTACCATGAAAACTGCTGGATAACCTAAAGATAACAGGTATCGGGAAGAGGCCGGGAGGTCGCAAGTCGATCCTTGCTTTTGGACAAACCTGTGTTTATTCATCCCTTACTTTCCTCAAACAAAAAAAAATTATTTTATTTTTCAAGTATAAAAATAAATGTAAACTTGGACTGAAAACTGATGAGGAAATTCAATTAAAATTTTCATTCAAAATTTTGAATAATTATTGTGTTTTATTTGATACTTTATTGAAGCAAATAGCTTTTGCACCGAAAGTGGTAAAGCCGAAGGATATGGAGAGGATTACTTGTAATTAAAGAAAAGAGGAAAAGACCTTAAAGTGATTTAATTTTGATGTTTAAATTAACTGTTTAAATTAACAAAATGACCAATTTGATCCATTTTTTCAAATTTTACACTCACGAATTATTTTTTTATTGCTTCTACTTACCTTCTGTTTTCGCAAAATTTCATTCTTTATCCTCTGTTCGACTTCTGCTTTCGCTTTTTATTTTGCTTTGCTTACCCCCCCCCCTCTCTCTTTCTAACTCACCCCCCCCCCCTCCCTCTCTTTCTACCTCACCCCCCCCCCCCTCCCTCTCTTTCTACCTCACCCCATCCCTTCTACCCCCCCCCCATCTCTTTCTACCTCACCCCATCCCTTCTACCCCCCCCCATCTCTTTCTACCTCACCCCCCCCCCTCACCTCTCTACCCCCCTCCTCTTTCTACCCCTTCTCTCTCCATCCGTTATGATTCCCATATTTAAAATTTTCAAAAATTTTTCAAAAAAATTTTTCAAAAATTTTCAAATAACAGATGTATTATTGTTCTTTTTCCCCTCATTTCTCCCACAAAATTTTCCTTCGTCCAACAACCCTTTTCCTGTTTTTTGTTTGGTTTACGGGAACAGCGATAAAAGGAAAGGAATGCCTAAAAGATCAACCTCCATATGAGAGGGGTGCCTCGCAGGGCCAACACACCAAATAAGCTGGAAAAATCCACTCTTATTCACTCTATTGGGTCTGATGATAAGTTGGGTAGCCTTGTTTGGTTTTGGTTTTTTATTACAATATCTCCACAAGAAGGGAGAGAACAAGGCATGTGGGAGCGGCGTTGGTGACCTTATGAAAGAGAAAAAAGGAAGGAAAGGGAAGGAAGGGAGGGAAAGGAGGGGAGGGGTACCTCGCAGGGCCCCGTTCAGACTAACCGTGCTGGGTTGGATAGCTTTGGACTATACAAACTATAAAAACATTGTGTTCTTTCTTTCCATCATTTTTTAATGTGCCCAAGTCTTCTAATCGATGTACATTTATTTTCCCGATAAGATTTTAGCAAAATTTTATCAAAATTATTGGAAATTTTTAATTCTTTTGATTTTTTTAAAGCCGCAAAAGTGGCAAAATTTGTAGACGTAAAGGTCGCGCAATGATTTAAATTTGAGACAGGCGGGATTATTGATAAACCTTTTGGTCAGTCTCGGACCAACTGGCTTTTGATCCCAAACAGTTTCCTTGATTTTTTCAATAAATATCATAAATTTAAATCTGAACTCAGATTGTGTTCTAATTTTAATCCTAACCTGCACTTATTTTTAATAGGGGTTTTCCCCTTCTCGATAAAGGCCTCGTGAAAATTTTTTCCTCAAATTCCGCGACTCTCGATCAGAGGTAGGTCGGAATTCCAAATTCCGAGTTCCGACTTTTGAGCCAGTTCCGACTTCCGATTTCCGACATCTCTGACTGTTCCGACCCACCTCTGCTCTCGAGGAGATAGAACAACCCTAATGTACATATTACAGTCCCGCTTTTATCTTCATTTTTCATTATAAACAGGGTATTTACTTTATCAAGTGGTGTGATTATTAACCGTCTAAAAATTGATTTTTAATTCTTTTTTAAAAATAATTTTTTTAATTTATCTTTAAAGGAATTTTCTTCCCAAAATTTTTTTTCTCATCATTCTTTTAATAAATACTTCTCTTTTTTTTCATCTTTTTAATCAGTTATCGTCATTGGAAAACGAAACAATTTTTATATTATTTTTTTTTAATTTTCCTCTTATTTTCTTTGTGTGGCAAAACACCGTCCGAACAATTAACCGTCTGAACATTAACCCTCATATGTTCTTTAATTAGAGGTCAGCAAAATCTTGTTTGAGGGATCCCGCATGCGGGATTTTTCAAGTCGTTGCGGGACTGGATCCCGCGGGAATAATCGCGCTAAATCCCGCACACCCGCAAAATCCCGTAAATCGAAAAAAGTGCGGGATTGCGGGACTGGATCCCGCAAAATCCCGCGCGAGATCCCGTCCCCCGCCTACCTCTAGTTTTAATATCTTTAGACCCTAGGCTATCAGACCCTAGGATTAGTAGTAGAAATACATGAAAATTTTTCGTTTCGTGTTTCGTTTGAGAATTAATTTCTTCCTTTTTTTGTTTTATATTTCGTCAAATTTCGTTAAAAAAAATTTTGTTTCGTTTTGGAACAAAATTTTATCGTACATTTCTGGTTAGTACTACATATAACTCTTATGCCTAGCTCTTTTATTTCAAAATTTGTACCTTTAAGCGATCTGGACGGTATTCTTTACTCGAATGTCTCGACGGTGTTTTGTTTGGACGGTGTTTTGTTCCTAAAGAATTTCTTTACATTCAAAAAAATTTTTATTAATGCTTTTCTCCCCCATGTTCCTTCCCTTCATTTTCCCCTATAACTTTCCCCTAGTTATTGGAGTAGAACAACTAAATGTTGGACACAACCGATTGTAAAAAGCAGTTTGGAATGAGAGAAAATTTATTTTTATGTGGTTATTGAGCGATGCGGAGTGTGAGTATATGTGAACACAACACTGAACACAACACATAAAACAACAAAAATTAAAAATATAATTTTCTGTTAGGCTCCCAAAAATATTTAATTTAGTCCCCCTGAACCTTAAGCCAAAAAATGGTTAAGGTTCAGGGTCTGGGTTAAATTGGGTCGGTGTCCAAATCTTATCTCATTTGTATGTAGTATTCCTCATTGTTTACCTTTACCAATATTTTTTTGATTTATTAAATAATCATTTTTTAATTTTTAATTTCCCCCCTTTTTTCACGTAAATTTGTTAGTACTGGAGACCAGACTTTACTCAGGGAACAATATCTATCACCTAGATATTTGTTCGGGATCTCGTCTCTGTTCTAGCTGGGGTCTCATTCGACTGAGTCTCAAAATGTACATTGACTAGCTTAATTGAATAAATTTTGAATCCTCCCATTGTAGTTTATTTATCCCTCAAAAATAGGCCATCGAATCTATCCAAATTAATTTTTTAATAATTCGATCTTTAATATCATTTAAAATTTAAAAAATTATTAATCAAAATTCCTTTACCAAACAATTTTTAATTTATTAAATAATCATTTTTTAATTTTTAATTTTTCCCCCTTCCCCTTCCACGTCCTAACCTTTTTACATATTTCACGTCAGTCCGCCTTTTAGAGCAATTAAAAATTTAAAAAAGAATTGATTACATTTTATAACATTTTTTATCGAAAAATTCAAAAATATACAACGTGGCATTCCTTTAAACTTGTGTTTAAAAAAATTTTTTTGCATTTATTTGTATTTATTCAAATATTTCAAAAATAAATACAAAAAATTGTTTAATCATTCATTTTTATTTAAAAATATTTATCTGGCCCTTTAATTAAATTTTTAAAAATTTTTACATTCAAATTTTTCAATTTTAGAATTTTATTATTTTTAAATGTTTGTCTGATAATGTCTGATTTTTAAATTTTACTTGAATTTTTATCTTTCAAACTTTTTTGTCTTAAACTCTAATCTTGACATTTTTGTCCGCAATTTTTAGTCTAACACTAACAACTAAGTAATATACTTTGGCTGACGCCTCTCCCTCCCCCCCCCCCCCCCCCCCATTTTTCCTGTTTCCCTGACCATTTTGAGTTTTTTGTGCAATTGCAAGGGTTTAAAAAGGAAGTTTTGTCCGCTTTGTAAGCAAATTTGTCAGCTAAATTTTATCCGAATTCTTATTGTTAGTTTCCGTATCTTTTGTCCGCAATTTTTTCTCGGCAAATTTCGTCCGCAATTTTTCTCCATAAAATTTGTCCACATTTTCGTTGGCAAATTTTTGTCCGCAATTTTTTTGTCCGCATCTTTTTGTCATTTATTTTGGAAAAATTATCATTTTTATTATTTACACATTCCCATCTTTTGTCCGCAATTTTTCTTCGCATCTTCCGACCGCATTTTTTGTTCACAATTTTTTTCGCATCTTTTGTCCGCATTTTTTCTCCGCAAATTTTTGCACGGAATTTTTTTGTCCGCATCTTTTTGTCATTTATTTTGGAAAAATTATCATTTTTATTATTTACACATTAATCATAAAAATGTCTTGATTTCTTAAAATTCATTTCCTAAATTTTCTTTTATTTTTTTATCCACGATGAAATTTCATATGAAGCCTTAAATTTATTTAAATTTTTTGTCTAAATAATTTATTACAATTTTAATCGAAATATTTTTGTTTATTTTTTTGTTAAATCAATCACTAACTAAAAATTGAATTTTTACACAGTCCTTCCTATACTAATCTTTCTAACACATATGACAACAAAAATGATTAATTTTATTTAAATGACATGTAGTAAATTAGTAATTTTAATAAGTCTCTATTTAATTTTTGTACTACTCTAGATCAGAGCTGCACGCAACTGAAAAATGTTTTCCGCAGCCGCAGTACGGAATTTTAATTTTAAAATCCGCAACTCGCATTCCACAATTGCGTGTATGTATCAAGGGTCTGGCCGACCTGATTCAAGAGAAAAGAGAATTTTTAACGTTTTCGGGGTTCGGATTTCAAATTCCCGTAAAAGAGAATCTATTTTCAGGTCCGTTAGACCCTTGATAAGCATCAGGGATAGAGGTAGGTAAACCCAGATATTTTCCTTTTTCCTTTTTTTTTAATATGTACTTATATATTCTCAACATTGTGTTCGAATTTTTAATCGACCCGGAACTCACCCAGACTTTTTTCTCATTCCGACCCATCCCTGAAACATATCCCTAAACATATTCCTATTCTAATTATCAAATATTTTTAATTCAGATTACATTTATTTTTATTTTTCTATTTGTTCCAATTTTTAAGTATTTATTTATAAAAATAAGGTTTTCTCTCCATTTTTAAATTAAAATTCTCATTTTGCATTAAAAAAATTTTTTTTTTCATTTCGTCTGCTATTTTTCTATTCCATTTTTATATATTTTGTAATTGATCCTACACTTTTCTATTTAAGTGACCCCAAAAAAGGAATATCGCTTCTCTCAACTACTAAAAGCTATTTTTAAATTAAAATAGCTTCTTGCTGTTTTGGAATTAATTAAAAATAAATTATTTGTAATATTATTTTAGTAAAAGTACTTTAAAAAGTAGAGATCGTACTGTGAGAGTCGTGCGAGAATTGAGAGTCTTTAATGGAAATTTACTATTAATTTTGATCTTTTACAAAATTGTCCGCAAATAATGTCCGCAAAAAATTTTTTATCCGCAAAACACTAAACTGTCCGCAAAAAAATTTTTTATCCGCAAATAAATTGTATAATTATTATAATTTGTATTTTAGATACTATATTTTTACGTTAACTCGAAAAATCTCAATTCTTGGTAACCGAGATAAGTTCAAGATCTCGTCTCGATTCGATCTCTAACTAAACTATAAATACATAAATTTATTTAAAACACGAATGAACTTATCAACGTAATCATTAAACGTATTTTATAAATCTTTTTTTTTCCCTTTTTACTAAAAACATCTACCATCTATTTATTTATTTTTAATGGAAGATTGCGATTAAAATTAATTTTATTTTTACCATTAAAAAATTTTTTTTTGATTTTTTTAAATTTTTAATTTCTTTTCAAACCTAAACAATTCAATTAGTGTTTTTATTGTTCCTTTTTTAATAAATAAATTTATAAAAGAAAAGTAATCACAATTTTTAATTAAATATTTAATCATAGAATATTGCTAGTTTTTTTGTCCGCAAAAAATTTGCGGACAAATATTTGCGGACATTTTTAGTTAAATACCGTAATCACTAAAATATCGAACTTTCGAAATTACTCTGGATAGGATTGATCGTTGATGTACACATAGTTCAGCTTTTGTAAGCAAAAATTTATCCGCATTGCGGATTATGTCAAAATTTCATAAGAGCTCTGAGCAAGGCAGATTTTGCGGACACTGTGCCTTTTATATTTTTTGATTAAATACTGCAATCATTCAAAATAATTCAATTTCGAAATTTTAAAACAGCTCTGGTCAGGATCCTTTGACGTAAAATTTAGGATATGTCCGCAAAAATATTTTGTCCGCAAAAATTTTTGTCCGCAAAAAAATTTTTGTCCGCAAATTTTAAAAATTTAATTTAAAAAATAAATTATTTTATAGTGTAACATATTTTAAAAAATAATTTTATTTTTTTACAAAAAATATGACTAATCTATTTAAAATAATAGTAATAAAATTAATTTTCCAAAAATTGTACTATCACCATTAAAATAAATTTAATTTTAGGGGCTAAAATTTTTGCTCAATTTTTCTTCAATGTTTATTTTCTATTAAATCTCTAAATTGACTCTACTTTTTTACTAAAAATATGCAAATTATCAATAATCAGCCCCAGCATGATTCGCCAAAAAACGACCAAAATTCTTCCTCTTCTCCCCCAAATAACAGCAAAAAACATCAACAAAATAATCAAAGTCAGCAACGTCGTACGGCCGCCGAACGACGTGCTAGTCATAGACGGAGATCGACTGCGCAGGCGAATGAATTAGTACAACTCGCGCAGTTGCGAAAAGGTGTGAATTGTGTGTTTATATTTGTGATTTGTTTTTTTAATCAATGTTTGGGGCAATTTCTATACATAGGTCTTTATAAGTGTTCGCTACTAAACCGAAAACCCCAAATATCCATTTCGGTTCGGATAACAGTCCCGAGATCCGGATATCCGGAAATTTCCCAGGAATCGTCATCCTTATTACTACCTTTATTAACCTTCTACAGGTTTGGATTTGACTAACCAATCTTGAAAAACCCTCTAGTTTATATTTGTGGTTTCAGTAAAGCGGGGGGAAATTTTAATGAACAACTGAGAGAAACCTTTATCCTCTTACCCATGTACCTGAGATGCAGAGGTGGGTCGGAATTCCGATTTCCGGAAAAAAATTTTGGTTTCCAATTTCCGACTTTTGGGCAGTTCCGATTCCGGCTCTTCCGATTTCCGACACCTCTGACTGTTCCGACCCACCTTTGCTGGGTTGTCTTAGTAACGGAGGGTTCAACCTAGACCAAAATATGTTTATAATTCAAAAAGACGTTCCGAACTCCTTAACTGCCAAGGAAATTAACTTTAAGGTCTAGTTGTTACTATTTTTACTTTCGCTTTTCGCCGATTTCTGCCTTCTTTAATGTTTAGACTTTCGTCTTTTAGAATCCCATATTAAGTCTGCTACCCGTAAGGGACGATACGGCAAAGTTTCAGACCTACCTAAAAGTCTTCTCTCGGGGAATTTCAAAAATTCCTCGATACTGAGAGGGAGGAATTTTCCTTACCACACCTTTAATTAGGAACACCCATCTTCCAGAGACACTAAAAAATTTTTACTGCAAAAATAATTTTTTACTGCTTTTTTACCTCTATAATTTAATGGAACCACAAGGTACATAAACAATAAATAATAAAAAATTTAGTGTATTATCAAGACATTTTAAGTGATTAAATTGAGAGAATTGTAATCAAAAAATTATATTTTTATTTACCTTTATTTTAATCAATTTTTAATTGAATAAAAATTTAAAAAAATTTAAAAAATTAAAAAAAATTTTTTAAGGAATTGAAAAAAGCCGTTCAAGTCAGGACAGTCCTAATATAGAGAAAATAGCTGAGGAACATTCAACTAAGGAAGAAAATTCTGAAAAGACAATGATTATTCCAAATCAACAAATGGACAATGTATGTAAAGGGATCATGCTGATATGAAAAATAAATTTTCTGATTTTCGGAGTCGGGAATTTCCGAGAAAATTTTAATTTTTAACTTAGAAAGGCAAAGTTCCCGACCCAAAAATAGGGCGGGAAATTTACGATTTGCGAGTAATGGGATGGCAGGATTCTTGGTACGGTGTTACTTCCGGACCTAGTATTTACATATACCTTTTGAATTTTAAAATTCTTACCTTATAATAAGGTATAGCTTAAATCGGGGCATTGTTTGTGCAGTTTCCCCCACCCAGTGGTATACAAAAATGTGAATTTTTTAAAGCATCCTTTCTATTTTTTTAGGTTACGGTTTAGTAATACAGCCTTCCCCTCATCTAAAAGCTAACCAATATTGTATCCAGGATCCTGCCAAATTAAAAAATAAATTGCGATTTTCGGAATATTGGGACGAACATAAAAGTACATTTACTTCCATGAAGAAATGCGAATTTGCTGAGTCTAAAAAAGGGTTCTCTATTTTTCTGCGTTAAGATTTAAATTTTTTAAAAATTTTATGAGTCATTCAATAAGACTTTAAATTAACATTCCTTTTATAAAAAATTTATAAAAAAATTTTTTAGTCAACAAAAACAACAAAAAATATATTAACAACAGCAGATTCAGACGAATTTCCCCCAGAACCAACAATTACTGCACCTGGCAGTGAAGAAGAAGAATTTGTCAATAATGAAAATATTTGTATTAATTTATTAGAAGAAGAACAAGTAGCTACTTTAATGCTTTTTGAGGTGTGGTTTTTAATTAAATTTTAAACTAAAGTAAAAGCAGACGTCGTTTAGGCGCCTGCACGTTTTGGCGCGCGCCCCAAAACTTGGTACTTAGCCGAAACCTAAATTTTTCAAAAATTTTCCAAATTTTCTTTTACGAGACTGACTAACTCCTCCAAAAATTTTAGAATTTTTCATCAAGTATTTTTGCGGTTATAGTCGATAAACCTTGAAAAATTAGTCATTTTTTGAAGAATCGGCATTTTTGGTCATAATTTCTGAAATTCTTGGCTGAAATTTTTGAAATTTTTAGACAGCTTAGATTAGCATACTTGGGCTAATTCTGTTGCTAAAAGTGAGCTTAGCTGAACATGAACGTTGTTTTTGAAAGAAATTTTTGCCTAGATGATCAATTCACTACTCATTATTTTAAAAGTTTGCGCCCTACAAATACCGCGCCGTAACGACCCCATTTTTTAATATTTTTTATGGGAGTAAATTTTGGTCGTTGACTATTTTTCCTTAAGAAATTGCTGATTTAAAAATTAAAAAATAATTTCTAAACAAAATTATAGCCATCTCCAACATCCTCCACCACCTCTCCACCAATCAGAACAACACCAAAAACAACAATAAATAAAAATATTTCAGATATCCCCCCTCCTACCCATCCATTCAAACAAAAATATTACCACCAAAGAAGTATTTCTGATCATTTATTAAATTATTCTAGTTCAAAAAATATTCAAAAACAACAACTTAAAAATCAAGAAAAACCGTTTGGAGAGGACAACAATCCTCTTCCACCTCCAAAATATATTTATTCTTCTCAGGTACTTTAAATAATGAGAGAGTTATATCTTGAACAATTGGCTTTTGATTATTTTTAAAGAGGGTTTTGTGTGTATTTTTTGCTGATTGCTAAAAGAAAGGAAGGCTTTCTTTGTGTTTTTTTCGAATTTTGAAAAGGATATGTATTTTCATGTTTGTTGTCCTTACAAACTTGCAAAAATCCCCCCTGTCTCTCCCCCTCCCTCAACTTGCAAAAATCCCCCTACCTCTCCCTTACTCCTCTCCTTTAACCATTTAATTTTTTAGTTAGACATGCAATTTAGTCTTTAATTTTTTAATAAGGCTTTAATTTATTGTAGAGATCGGACTGGGAGTTTCCTACGAGAATCGAGATCAGGGCTGGACACAACTGAAAAAAATTTTCCGCAACCGCAATCCGCAGTCCGCAAGTTCAAAAAAGATGCAATTTACGCAATCCGCAGTTGCGTCTAGCCCTGATCGAGGATCTCGAAAAATTTTCGTCTCGATGACGAAGATTTTCGATCGAGATTTTAGGTCTTGATGCGATTTCTAATTTATTATTTATTCAAAAACCTTATCAGTTTACATTTATCAATCTACACTTTTCTAAAAATTTGAGCAAAAATTCTTCCTTGTTTACAATTTATTTACATATTTAAATGTAAATCTACTATCTAAACCAAAAATTTTCACTTTAATATTTTTATAAAAAATTTTTTTTTAATTCAAAATAATAAATTCGTTTTTGTTCAGAGATGGGTTTTCTGATTTAATTTTTTTTTCATATTCGTATTTTTTGATTGTTTTTTTTTCTCTAAGCTTGCTTCCTTAATAATCGGTCTTCATTTTCAGTTATTACCCACAAAACTAGATAGACCTAGTTTAATTGTATTTTTTAAAATTTGATTGGCTTATAGGGTACTACGATCCTCATTAGGGGAGATAAATAAGGTCTGGGGATGTATCAGGGATCCTTTTCTCCGGAATTTATTTTTTATGTTGGCAGGGTCCCTGTTTTGTAAATAGAAAATAAAGTTTAAAAAAATTTTAATGAGAAAAAAATTTTTTTCTTTTAAAAAATCCAATTTCCCTTATAAAATAATTTTATAAAAAAATAACATGACTTTGAGAATTTTATTTTTTTAAATTCACAAAAAACCACATTTAATTATCTTATCAAAAAAACTTTTGGGAAACTTCTGGCTTCTATACAAAAAAATTGTTTAAGGAAGTTGAGAAGGGAGCAGGCCAACTTACCGCGAGCCCATCTTACCGCAGAGCTATAACTTTGTTCAGAATCGTCGAATCCAGGACGCTCTGGTATGTCTCGATACGCCTCGACAATCTGAATCGAGCCATACCAAGGTGTCCTGGATTCGACAATTTTGAAGAAAGTTATAGCCTCTGCGGTAAGTTGGACTCGCGATAAGTTGGGGGTTTACCCAGTTGAGAAGATGATTTTATCAATTTCCTTCCCTATTTTTATTGTTGTTGATTAATATATTTTTTTATAAATTTATTTATTTTTATAAATTCCTTTCTTTCTTAAGAATTTATTTATTCATTGTACTTATTTTTAAATAGTTGAGAAAAGCTTTATTTTTATCTTAATGGAATTTTTTTATAATTTATTTCTAAAATATACCAACTTTTAAAAAATTTTCTCTCATTTTTAAGCTTTAAAAGAATTTTGTATTTTTGTTAGGTTCTTTTAGATCACAAAAATCTGCAACTATATTTGGTCGCAAGTTTCTATATAAAGGATTAGGGTTGCCAAATTGGACCGAAATTCGAGTCAGGCCTAAGATATTTGGCCTGAAAAAGACGTATGCTTTTTTGGGGACACGCCCAAGTAGGCGCGCGTCCAAGTAGGCGCAAAGCCATAACTAACTGAAAAATTTATGGACCTTAACAATTTCGGTACCATTCTCTTTAGCTCGATGAGAGGAATCGTTTACTACCAAATTTGGTAAGACTCGGAAATTTTGAAGCAAGTTATGACTTTGCGCCTACTTGGCCGTGCGCCTACTTGGGCCGTACCCGCTTTTTTGGTATCCGAAGACTTTAAAAGGACTGGCACCACTAAATAGTCTTTATCAGAAAAAACATAATATCACTCAAATTCTTCCCAAAACTGAATGATCAGAAAACTAGATGATCATTTAAGGAATGATCAGGCCTGATCATAATAATTGATTTTTGCGTGTAAAACCAAAAACCGAAAAGAACCATTTTTATTGTAACCAAACAAATTGGACCGGTGGGCATAATTAGTAGTAGCTTTGAGAGATAGCTTCAAGTCTGGCTTCTAAGCCAAGATTTTGAGATGCCCGAAGTTGAGCGGGGCCTCAAAACGCCCAATACACAGGACAAGATACCCCCTATTATTTTTTCAAAAAATTTTTTCTTCTCCCCTTTAAAAACTAATTAAAAATGCACCAAAAAAAAGGCAAAGTCATCAAAAATTCTTTTATTTTTTTTAATTGCCTTTTTTTGCGCGTTTAGATCGATTACATTTTTTTGTAATAAAATGCTCTATTATTTGTCTAATAAATACAGTTTTGACATTTGCACATTTGCATCTTCCGTCTCATTTTTTTATTACACAAGAAAAACCGTTTATATGTATAAAAATTATTTTTATTTTTTATTGTTGCGATAAATGCGCGCTATAAAATTTTTTTGTTTTGGCACGTTTGGGCGCTCTATCTTTTAGCTAATCGGACCTCACTACAGGGTAGCTTAACTGGAGAGTCTCTCTTTTGGCTCTTTTTTGAAAGCTTTTTTTGGCTATCGTCTAGATAGCTCCCCAAATTAGTGGCCAACCAAATTTTTAAAGGCGTCTCTTAAATTGAGGTTAATCCAGTAATAGGTAGACAACCTTTCCAGTTTCAAAACTCCTTCCTAACATTTAGACAGCTCCCCAAATCATGGCTGTAATAGTCGGTTTCGTACCCCCCCCCCCCTTTTTTTTTTCTTCATCTTTCCTTCTCTATCTCCTTTAAAGTCATCATGAAAATTAAGGGAGAGAGAAGGAATTAGTGGCTCTTTTTTGAATTTACCTTCTATTTAATATACTCATCATTATAAGGTATTTTTCATCTCCAAAATGTTATCTTATAATGCAATTCGACTATAGGAGATAATCTTGAGTTTTCTAGATATGAGCCTAATAAACGCCCAACGGTTATTTCGCGCCAAACCCCCTTCCTCGCTCTACCTCCCCCTCCACCCTCCCCTACCTCCCCCCATTTTTGTATACAAAAACATTCCTCCACATTTTTCATATTTTTCTTTTATTTTTATTTTATTTTTTCAGTTGGACAGTGAATCGCCTTTAAACCTTCAAAACAACAAATATAATAACATCAACACCAAATTTTCAATGGCTGCAGCAACAACAAAAAAGAAAGCTCCTATTCTTGCTCAAATTCGTAGACTTAAGCGAGAAGAGGTATGTAGCTAGAAAAAAAATTATTTTTTTTATTTTCAAAAAAATTGTGGGATTGTTTTTGTTATCTAAAATTTGAAATTGAATATTTTTAAGCTCAAACAAAAGTCATTGAAAATGCAAAAAATTATTTTCCTAATTTTTTACAAAATTTTAAATTTAATTTTTTATTATTTTTCCCCTCTAATTTTCTTTATTTAGTCTCGCCTTCAATTTACAGTCAGACCTCACTTTAGTAGACACCCATTACTAGCCACCTTTCTATTTAAGGGACGTTTTTTAGAATTTAGGGGGTCGTTTGGGTTGGAGAAACTCCCTATAGGCGATAGCTTCTATTTAAGCTACACTTCATTATAAGAGACAACAGGGAGTCTCATTTACAGGGAGTCTCTCTCTTTTTTCAGCAGGGAGTCTCTTTGTGGTCCGACCATCTATTTTTTGTATCGCTGGATTGGAGAAGCTATCTATAGTCGATACCTTCTATTTAAGCTACACTTCATTATAAGGGACGAATTTTTTCCTCACCAGGGAGTCTCTTCTAGCGGGTCCAACCATCTATTTTTTAGTATTTTCATAGAAAAAATTTTTTCAGGAATTTAATGATCAAATGAGCGCTAATGATTACAACACTGAACCAGAAGAAGAAGAAGACAATGACGACAAATATTATGAAAGTTCAGCAATAGAGGATGACGATATTGAATTTACCAACAGACTTAGCCGTCCACAACAACGTTTAAATAGAGTTTGTAGTGGGGATGGAGAGCTTGTTAAACTTCGAAATGTTCATAACAACGAGGATGATTTCTCCCCTCCTCCACCTTCATTTACTACTACTCCAACTTCTCTTTCGTCCTTTTCTGCTTTAAAGGCGGCAACTGCTTTGGCTGGTGTTAATTTGTCTTTGGCTAGAGGGTGGGTTTAAATTTTAAAATATTTTGAGAATTTACAGTCGGACTTTACTTTGGGGCTGAAAGAATTTTGTACAATATAAGGAGTTACCGTATTTCCTGAAATAATTCTGCCGGCAGTACTATTTTTCAACCCACATTTAAAGGGCAGTACTATTTTAGGAATTACGGTATCCTCTTAACTAGAGAGTACATTAAAATGAAGGGTATATTAAATAGAGGGTATCTTATAATTAAGGTTGGAGTTTTCGAGTCAGGCCGAAGTTCGAGTCATTTTTTAGGGCCTCTTTTTATCTAAACGACCGAGGCTTTTTTGCCCCAAAATTCGATGCCTCGGACCGCACGAGTCTTTTTCGGGCCAAAATTAGATGCCCTACTCGATCTTTCGGACTGGGCACCAACCCTACTTATAATTAAAGGTATATTAAATTAGGGGACCTAATTGGGGTTATCTTGATGGGTTGACTGCTAATAATTTTTTAAAAATAGTATTAAGCAGGCAAATTAATTTTGAGTTTTTTAAGACGACACAAGACACACAAAAAAAATTTTTTTTATGAAAGACTACAAGACTAGAATATAATTGAAGTTGTTTGTGTCTCTTATTTTTATCAAAAATTTTTGTACAATTATAAATTTTTTTTCGATTTTTAAAATACAGTCAGATTTTGGGGTAAAAAATGCCCCTTATTTTTAATACTACCTCAATTTTAGATACGAGTAAAAAAATTTTTTTTGCTCTGGGGGAGGTCAAGGGTGAACGATAGGGAAGCTTTCAAAAATGCATGACGTTGCTCTCACCCCTAGCTGCCCAAGTGATACCCATAATTTTAGGTACTCTTTGTCCCGGGCCTCCAACCCTACTTAGGTACTTCTTCAGCCCCAAGGAGGTTTTTAAAACCGAGGTCCGATTGTACATATTATTTATTGGTACACTAGCTTAACCTATGCTTTACCCTATTTTTTATGTTAATTTTTCCTTTCTTTCTTTTCCTATTCTTTTTATGTGCTATTTTTCCTTACAGCCTTGAAAACAGCTCTATTCCAACCAGCAATACTTCAACACCTTCCAACACCAAAACCAAAAATAGCAACAAAAAAAGCGCCTCATTTTCTTCTACGCCTTCATCTTCTTCAGGAATTGCCAACCTATTTTCTCTAGGAAATCGTTTTTCAACAAATCGGCAAAATTCTGACAGCAGTCTATTAAGACGGAATAGCCAAAAAGTTGAGGAGCAACAACAACAAAATTTGCTTTGCAGTCGTCGCTCCTTTAAATGGAAAAATCTTTGGGGGCGGAAAAATAGTGGGACATCCATTGACGATAGCAATATAGTTGTGGGATCAAATGTCTCAAAAGGGGGATCAAATGTCTCAAATGTCTCAACTCCAACTGGGTCTCTGTTTTCAACAAAAAGGGCATCTAGCCAATTATTAGACACTTTAATAGAAGATACTGAAACATTTTCAATATCAGGAGGAAGTAAAGAAGATGAGCTTAAACAAAAAAGAAGGCTAAAAAGACATTCGGCTTTATTGTTAGTTGAAGGGAATGATAAAGAAGAGGGGAAGGGTATAGAAGAAGAAGGAAAGGAAAGAAGCTTTAATCAGAACGCCAATACAGCTTTAACCCCAGTACGCTTTCGAACGGCTAATCAAGTATTAAATAGTTCATCGAAACAAGAGAAAAGTGAAAGAAGAGAAGAAGAAAAAACAGAACGCCAAGAAATTCTTTCTTCGTCAATTTTGCAGCAAAGACCATTTTCGATTATCGGCACAGGCCAGGATAGCGAACCCTCACTTATTAGCTCCTCTAAGGTTCATAATATGCTTTCTGTTGAAGAGGAAGAAAGTAATGAACAACAATTACTGCCAAATGAACAATTAGCTCGTTATAGAATTGAAGAAGACCTGTTGGAACGCTTTGACGAGTTTCTTTTTAAATGCCGAGGAAAGGGGTTGAGAACATTGAGAAATGTAAATGAAGATAGTTTTGGGATGGATGAAGAAGAGGAAGTTGATAATGGAAGGGAGGAGGAGGAAATGAAGAAAATCGTTAAAAAATCTTCAAAAAATAGAGGTAGGAAGAGGATGGAGATTTTGGCAATTTTCAAGTTCGTTCTTTCCCTTTTCCCGTAAAAGGACTCATAATGGTCAGACCTCCTTTCTCAATTGCAATTTTTTCTATGCATTTTTAACTAAATATTAGAAATTAAGAATACGAGGAAGAAAGTCTGACCATTATTCATTTTCCCTGTTCATCCGCCAAAGGGCTCATAATGGTCAGCTTTCAAGTAGGGCAATAAGGGACTCATATTGGTCAGTTTTTCAAGTAGGGTTAGTAATAATCTGACAACAAACCTGATGTTGTCAGATTACGTGGAAGAAAACCTGATCATTATTCTTTCTCCCTGTTCATCCGACAAAAGACTCATAATGGTCAGTCTTTCTTTTTTCTTAATGGTACTTCATTTCTCTACGTCATACACTATTCAATGGAAATTAAGAATACGAGAAAGAAAGGTTGACCATTATGAGCTTTTTGACTAAGGAAAAGAGAAAGGAAACGAACTTGAAACTTACCAACCTTTTTAATGATGAATTAATAAGAGAAAAATTTTAGGAAGAGACGGAAAATTAGATAAAGAAGAAGATTCTCTTCAAAAATCAGCAACATCCTCAACCTTGCTTAAAAAATCAAATCACAAACAAGTCGAAAGAACAGCTCCTCCACTACCTCCACGACTTTCACGAGCTACTCGTCGTTCTACAAATTGTTCTCCAATACTTTATATCAGCACATGTCAAACACTTGATAGACGACAAAATAATAAAAAATTGGCTCTTCATAGAGCTGTTTCAAGCAGGGCTAATAACCTGACAACGAACCTGGCATCCAGTTCTTCGCCCTTCTCTTATACATCAACACTTACACTTCCTCGTAAACGTCCACCTCCTCGAGGCGTATCAACACAGCAAAGAAGGCGTGGGAATATTACTTCAGCTGCTACTCGAAGAAAAAGTATTGTGCAGCTAGTTGTAGAGGATTCTGTTGAACTGGCAGCGATAGTTGCAGCGGTGGAAGAGCATGAAAAGGAAGATTTGAAAGGGGAAGGAGGAGGAGGTGATGGAGAAGGTCATGAGGAAGGTGATGGAGAAGGTCATGAAGCTCATGAGGAAGCTCATGGAGAAGGTCATGAGGAAGGTCATGAAGAGGTGAAGGAAGCTGGAAGCGTTAAGAAAGAAGCTGAAGCAAGACGAGTAGAAGAGGAGAAGCAGCAGAAAGTTGCGAAGCAACAGCAACAACCAGCAATGTTTAGAGTTAAATCATCCAAACATTTGACTACTTCCAACAATCATCACAGCACAAAATGTGCAATACTTAGACATTTATTAGGGGCAACAACAAACAACAATAATAATCGTGTTTGTGGAGGTGGAAAAGTTGCACCAAAAAATAATGGGACAATAATTAATAACAACAACAACAATTTGGGTAATGCAACAATAAGTGGTGGAAGTTGTGTTGCTGAAATGGCTTTTGATGGGGCTGCTAATAGGTGAAATTTTTTTAATTTTTGTTGCTTTTATTCTTTCCTGTCATCTTTTGTTTTTTTGTTTGCTTTGCTTTTCGTCTTTGTTTTTTTAATTTTTGTGAGTTTGGGAGATTTTCTAGGTTTGAATTATGCCTAGGCAAAATTTAAAAAATTAAGTCTGAGCGGGCTTTTTGCAATGAGTTTGAAGAATATAGATTTGTTAAGATCGAAACCTTATAAATTAGCAGCAAATAAAATAAGATGGGACCAAGACGAGATTTAATCCAAAAACCTTGGTACTGAGTAGTGGGTTAAAATTTGAATAGTGCCTAGGCAAAATTAAAAAATTAAGTCTGTACGTTTCTGAAAATTTTGTCCGGAAGCCGAACTCTGGATCCAATTTTAGTTCCGGTTCCGGAATTCGGAACTTCCGGTGAAACTCTAATAATGAGGTTTACTTAGAGGGATGTGTTTTACTTTTTCCTCAACCCATGATTAACCAAATTTTTAAAGAAACATATCCTAGATTGGGGTGTGTCTAATTTTTGGGGTCTGTTTTTATTTAATTTATAAGGCTTCGATTTTACCAATTTTTATTATTTAAAAAAATTTAAAAAAAAATTTCCTTTTAAAGAACAATTTCTAAAGACAACAAAAAGCGTGAAACAAAAACTAATTCAATGATCCTTGGGACAATATGGTCAATACGTCCTCGTCGTAAAAAAGAAAGTAATGCTCAACGTAGTCTAGTCAATTTATGGGCTTCTCAATCGCCTACAGAAAATATTAGTGCTAATATTGCTGCTGATGTGTCTGTTGCTAATAAATCTTGTCCTAATGGCAATGGTGGGGTTTTGAATTTTTCTAAGAATAAATTAAAGACACACTCACTTTTAACGTGTTGATACGAGCGAAATTTGGATTTCAGAAATAAATATTTTTCGATATACAGATACTCACGATTAGAGCTTCGCCGGAGATTCCGGATCCTGTTCCTTTCCTGAAACAAAAAATTATATCCGGATCCGGTCGTAATTTTAGCTCCGGTTCCGGCCAAATTTGCGGTTCCGGCGAAGCACTATTCACGATATCAATTCTAAAATATCACGTCTCCTTTATTTTGCGTCGACACCAGGGATCGTACCGACAAAGAATAAATTTCTGATTTTGGGAATTCCCGCCACAGAACTCACAAAGTCCCTATCTTGGGGAATTGGAACGGCACTTTCATTTGCCCTTAGAATTCAATTACGAGTGATGTGTTTTAGTCATCAATTCTTGCAGTCATAACGATAGCTTTTGTTATAGTGGTCGTGCCATCTTATCGAGCTTCGACCACTGATCAATAATCCTTATCGACTCTTAAGTCTCTATTCATGATGATATTTTTCGAGATTTTTTAAAAATGCCTATCTTTTCTTCGTTTTCACGTGTTAAAAGTGAGTGTGACTATTTTAAAAATAATTTAAAAATAATTTTTAATAAATTAATAAATTATTAATTAATAAAAATATAACAGGAAATAAACAAAATAGGGGTAAAAATGAAACGGAAATTAAGCAATTAATTATTTTAAAAATAAAATAAAAATATTTGCATATAGCAAAAATTAAAAAAAAATATTGGCAAAAAATAATTTTAGCAAAATAAATATAAATTACCAATATAAAAATTAGTAAGGAATAAACCGGCAAAAAATTTATCTTAGTTAAAATTAGTAAGGGGTTGAAATTATATTATAGCCTGTAGTTTATACTGACCCTCAAGTCTCTAATCACTATATTTTTTAAATAAATAAGTATTGATAGGGGTTGAAAATTAAATTTAGTATTTTTTTTAATTTTTTAATTTACTTACTAGTTTGATTAGTGTGTGTGATTGAAAAAAAATTTTTTTTTGATTTTTATTTTTATTTTTAATTTTTTATTTACCTTAAAAATCATGCACCTTTTTTTTATTTTTAAATTTTATTTTTAAATTTTATTTTCTTCTAAATTTTGAACATTTTCTAGTATTTACTATTTTTAATTTTTATTAATTTTTGCGTGGGATCATTTATTTTTAGATACCAATATTTTTATTTCTCTAAAATTGAATCTATTTTTAATATTTTGATATTTACTATTTTTAAAATAATTTTTGCGTGGACACTCATGTGTTTTTGTAGATCATATATTATTTATAATTATTTTTGGTTTATTTTTGAGGTTACCATGACTTTAATTTATAACGAATACCTTAAATCTTTAACCAGTTCAATTCTTAAATTCCCGAGGTTTTTTAGTTAAATACCAAATTGAGATTGTTCAGATTAACGCCGTCTTTATCCAAAGGTATTTGCTTAAAGATCAAAAATCATTTACTACCTCGAAGATAAAAATATTTAAAAAATTTTTGATTTTTTGAGACAACTTCAGAGTAGGCAAGTTTTCTCGAGAACCTTATTTAATCAGCTTAGAAAGTAATAGGCTTCATTGAGGGATAGGCTTTCATAGGGTTATCTATTCTTGGAAATTTTGGGATATATTTGGAACTGAACTGAAAACCCCGAAAAATCCTTTGTTCTTTCTTGATATGGATGACCACCCTACTTAATTTTTTATCCTTAAGATTATTATTCATATTTTTATTGTGTGATTTCTGATTTTTTATTAAAATCTTTAACTTTTAAATTTAATCCACACACTTTTTTTTATTAGAATTAGGGTTGCGCCCCGACCCCGACTAACCCCGACCCCGAACCCCGACATTATTTTCAGCCCCGACCCCGAACGATTTGAGCAACCCCGTCCCCGACCCCGACTTTGTCAACCCCGACCCCCGACTTTTTCAACCCCGAAGGCTCGGGGACCAACCCTAATTAGAATACAAAATTAGGCGTATGTAGAAAAGTAATTATATTCGGGCAAATAAATAAATAAATTGACAGAAAAAAATTAACTGGAAATTTACTCCTCTTTTTTTTCTAAATTTTTATTTTGGGAAGTAATGAAGAGGAAAATTTATATATTTAATTAATTTGCGAAAAAAGTTGTAAATAAAACAACAACAAAAAAATTTTATTTTCTGCGATTACTACAACAACATTTAATTTATTTTAAATGCCGCGCCTGTTTTAATTTGTGTTTGACTGATCATTTTTTTGTTGTTGTTGTTAACTAATTAATTTAGAAAGACAATTTAAATAAACATTAAAAAAATTAAAAATATTAACCCTTCATTTTATTTTTTAATTACCTCGATTAATTTTAATTACCCCCCCCCCCCTTCTCTCCCATTTGCAACGTAAGGGAAAGGAGTAATTAGTGGTAGAGATCAGACCTGGTCAAGGATACTGATTTCGGTATCCGTATCCGAATATTTACGGCGGATACAGACGGATACATGCGGATATACGCAGGCATTTTTGTATTATCTGTATCCATATCCGTATCCATGACCAAGTCTGGTTTGTGGACCGAGACGAGATCTCGATCATAAGTTAAGTTATCGAGATCGTAATTTTTCGAGATCTCGATTCTCGTACGACCAGTCCGATCTTTGATTAGTAGTAATTACCTTATTAATTACATAATAATTAATCCGTGTCACTTTCAAATTTAAAAATTTAAATTTTTATTCCCTCGAATAATTACTCCCTCTTATTATTTTTTTTTCAAAAATATTTTTATACGTATAGTATTTCTGTTCCTAGAAATCTTATCTTGTTAATTTCTTCTGATCACTCAACTCTGTTTAAGTAGTAGATAAATTATCTAGTATTATTATCAAGTACCATAGTCTATTAATTTTTAAAATTGACATAAAAATAGCTTTGCGTCTTGCGACAGAATATAACACTTAGGAGGACTTTTCCCGTTTTCCCCTCTTTAATTTTTCTGTCGCATGACACAAAACCATTTTTATGTAAGCATAGCACAAAAGTGACGAGGGTCTAAAAATTAGGGAGAATTTTAAAGATCAAGTGCCTCTCCCTTGAATAACCACCTCTCTCGATTAATTACCCCCTCTTCTCTCCCTTCTCTTGTGATAATTTTTTTATATTTTTAAACCGAGATCCGACTGTATTATTAACAATATATTCTTTATTCATTTCCACTCCCATTTAAAAAATAAAAATTACGGGAGCGAAAAATATTAAAATAAATATAAAAAATTTATTTATAGCATTAATCACAAGAAAAAAAATTTTTCTATAAAACAGGAAATTTTTGATTAACAGAGAGAGGAGAGAGAGAAAGCATTTTTTAGTTGGATATTTTTTTATCATTAATATGTAATGGCGTTTTTTGTTTTGTTCTTGTTGTTATTATTATTGTTGTGTGGGCGTTTTAACTAACTTTAGAGGGGGAAGGGGGTTTGGAGAGGGGGGGTTGTAGTGATTGCGGTTTTTACGTGCTTTTAGTTTTACGCATTTTCTTTTCTCTTTATACACAATTTTTGCAAAAATCTTGTTCCTTTTATTTTCTTTTAAAAAAATTAAAATTGTAATGATTAGCTTATAAATAATTTTTAGACTCCTTAATTAATTTTCTTTTTCAATTTTAAAAAATTTTATAGGGGTTGTCTCGCTAGTGATAGGAACATGACATTTTATCTTCGTTATTGAGGCGAGAATCAACTCGATAAAATTGTTTTAGGTTGTAATTTTTTTGCTATCAAAATTGAGATTCTCGCCTAGATTTTAAGATGTCTTTCATTAATTTGTAGGTTTATCAGTTCCTTGGAAATTTTTTTATATCCGGAACCAAACGAAAAATATTCGGTCAGTTAGATTTCGAACCGACCGAAGTTCGTTCTCTCTTTTTATTTAACAATACTTTTGGAAAATTTTAAGTATAGAATTGCAACAAGCTTTCGGCATTGAAAACGTTGGGTGATTTAGGGAACTTACTATTTTTGGAGGGGGGGGGAGGGAGGGATTCACTATTTATCTCTCTCATTCCATTTGTTGTCTTTCCATTTTTCAATCTTTCAAATTTTTTCCATTAATTTTAATTATGTATTTAACACATTCAAGTTGCGATTTTTCGAGAGCGTTCGATTTTGTTTCCAAAGATTTTGTTTTGTTTCGATTTTGTTTCCAAAGGAAAAGTGGGCACTTCAAAAATTCTTGATTATTTATGTTCAGTGTTTAATTTTCTATCATATAAGCTTTATTATATCCCTTTATCTTTCATTTGAATAAAGTTATGGCATAAAATCTGTGCCCCATTACTTTCTTGTCACCCTTTAATGTCCTATCTCTAATCTATCGGATTTTCTGATATCCGTAATATCTATAGATTGTAGCTTCCTGGAAAATTTTCTTCTTGTAAAGTTTTTCTGCCCAAGCCCTTGGAGTCGGAAAGTGAGATCAGGAAACAGGATCAGCCGAGGTTGGAGAGTCTTTTACTTTCTCATTCCATTTGTTATCTTTTTATTTTTTAATTTTTTAAAATTTATATTTCCATTAATTTTAATTTTATTTTTTTCTACCTTTCTTCTCGTCCTTAATTTTTTAGTTAGCACTTTGTGTTATCATCAATTAGAGAGATATATCTCCTCCCTAATTTTTTTTCTCCTCCTAATTTTTTTTTCTTCTTCAAATTTTTCCGCCACTATTCATTACGCGTATACCTTTTAATTATTTTTTAGGTTGAAAAACTCTAATTTTTTTTACCAAAATTTTATGCTCATTAACCCTTGAGTACATTTTCTTTTATTTTTTTTTTGAAAAAAGTCGCGGTCATACAAAAATTATTTTTTCTTAGCTTCTGATTTTTTTAGAATGATCATTTGATTGTTAATTTATTTTTGTTTATTGTTTACTTGATTTTGTTAACAGAAAAAACTTTTTTATTTAA